AGTCCATCCTCCACTTAGCTACCAAACTGATCTCGCTAAAATACGGGACTGACCATGTCACCTTTCCCCCTACTCAACAAACTTCAATGGCTTCCTATTACTGCCTGGATGAAATATAAAATCCTGTTTGCCTTTCAAACGCCTGCATAATCTATACCTTCCTACCTCTTAGAATCACTAGCTTCTTTCAAACTTTAGCTCAAATGCTACCTTCCATATAAGTTCTTTCTTGTTCCTGCCAGATGCTGATGCATCTCATCTCTTCCAGATTACTTTGTATTTATGAGATAAATAGAAAGAGAGAGATAGAGAGTTAGATACAGATGAGAAGGCTGTGGGGAATAAGCATTTATATAGAACCTACTAGGTGCCAGGCACTATGTTAAGTGCTTTATAAATATTATCTCATTTTATCCTCGCAACAACCCTGAGAAGTAGGTGCTGTTATTTTTCCTATTTTACAGCTGAGAAAATGGAATCAACAGAGGTTAAGTAACTTGGCTAGGGTCAGACTGCTAGTAAGTAGATAGATTTTAACTTGTCTTCCTGACTCTAGGTCCAGTGCTCTATCCATATAGAATCTAGTTGCTAACATATGCAGAGTAGATATAAATATAAATATAGATACATATAGAAATAGATATTATATATCAACTCACATGTGTACATGTTATTTCCCTTGATATAATGTAAACTCTTTGAATGCAAGGGTTATTCTGTTTTTGTCTTTGCATCCTCAGAACACAACACAATGCCTGGCACACTGGTACGCAGCAGATACTTCACAAATCCATGTTGATTGATTGGTGGATTGTCTTTTATGGTTCAATGGCCACTTAGTTTTCTCTTCTTAAGAAGAGTATATTCACCTTTAGGATGAGGACCATGGATTATACTTCCTAATGGTCTTTCCTCTCTTCCCTCTCCTCCTGGATTGTTGATAACATTGATTGATAGCAAAGTCTCTCCTTTAAGACTCTTACAAAGACTAATCAATGTGTTTTAGAAAAGGCCTGAGTCAACATGAGCCAAGAACTCAGTCCCAGGGCTGTTTGGGAAAGTAAGTGAGATCTGCCCTCTATCAGTGATAGAACTGGGTTTAAAGCTACATCTCAGAATCATAGAATGTCTATCCAAGGCAATAGCTATGCCACACACACCTCCCAGCCCCTGCTTCATGGCACACATGAATTTGGTCCATGTGTCATCCATACGTTTATCCCAGGCACTGACAAAATATTTTGAACAGCACAGGAACAGGGACAGGTAAAGAGGTAGTTAGGTAATTCAGTGGAGAGGGCCCTAGAACTGAAATCAGGAAGACCTGTATTCAAATCTGACCTCAGACACTTATTAGCTGTGTGACCCTGGGCAACATTTGACCTCTGTCTGCCTCAGTTTGAGGCAGTTACCTCAGATACCTCAGTACTACATTGTGTGGTCAAATCAGGACATGCCTGCTGTTCAGTGAGGCCCATAAGGAAGTTAGAATATTGGGGCTGGGGGCAGCTTTATTAGGATTCTAACACATACACACACACACACACACACACACACACACACACACACACACACACACACACATCACACACACATCCACGTCCCTACTCTGTGATCTAAGGACAGTGGCCTATTTGTTCCTGGAACAGAAAATTCCGTTTCCTGACTCTGGGCATTTTCATTTAGAATGCTTAGAAGGCTCTCCATCTCCTGGCTTTCCTGGCTTCCTTCATTTGTTGTTGTTGTTCAGTTATTTCAGTCATGTCAAACTGTTCATGGACCCTTTTGGGGTTTTCTTGGCACAGATACTGGAGTGGTTTGCCATTTCATTCTCCAGCTCATTTTACAGATGAGGAAACTGAGGCAAACAGGGTTAAGTGACTTGCCCAGGGTCATAAGCTTGGAAATGAGGTTAGATTTGAATTCAGGAAGAGGAGTCTTTCTGACTCCCAGCCCAGCACTCTATCCACTGTGCCACCTAGCCGCCATGGCTCTCTTCAGATCTCAGCTAAAATAATACCTTCTACAGAAAGCCTTTCCTACTCCCTTAATTCTGTCTTTCTGCTGTTGATTATTTCCAATTGATCCTATACAGTTCATTTGTACATGGTTTTCATGTTGTCTCACCTATTAGACCATGAGCTGCTCAAGAGCACAGACTTTTTTTAAATTTCTTTGTATTTCCAGAAGCTTAACACAGTACCTGACAACATATATTAAACCTATGTTTATTAATTTGTTATTGTGACTTGCCCAAGGTCACACAAATAATAAATTCCAGAGCTAAGATTTGAATCCAGGTCTGAATTAAATCTAATGACCTTTCTGGTGTATCACATTTCATTCCAATTATTCAGTACAACTTCAAGAAAATCTAACTTGTCTTTATAGACTCAATCTTAAAATCAAATGTCACTACCTTCATATCTGTGCAAAGGAATGTCAACAAATAAAAACCTTTAAGCTGCCTGTTGATATGACTCAGCTGTGCTAGCCTTGCCCTGAATTTGTTGTGTGACCTTGAATGACACTCTGAAGGACTCTTTAGGTTCTTCTGTAAAACAGGAATAATGTACCAGAGGAATGGGGGTTGGTTAAACTTTCATCATTAGTCTGTTTTGAAGAATCCATCCTCATGTCCACACACTCTAGTTAAACAGCAACTGTTGCCTATTGTGAATCACTCACAGTGGAAAGAACTCAGGAATTGACCTGTGTGACCTTGGAGGAGTCTCTTAATTTCTTTGGGGCTTGATTTCTTCTTCTATAGAGTGAAAGAGTTGAACCAGATCAAATGACTGTTAAGGTCTTTTCCAGCTTTCCATCTGTGGCTCTGTGGCTTGTTTTTAGAAGCAAAATTACAACATAGAAAATCCTTCAATACTATCCAAAGGAGGGGAAGTAATGCCCTGTTAAGGCATGCTCAGTTGACCTCTGTCTACCTACTCTATTATTAGCATCACTTTCCCCCACTTAGCATCACAGCATAACATTCCCTTATTTGCCTCATAGTGTCACTTTCCCCAACATGATGGGAAATTGAAAAGAAACCACTTCTATACTCCAGGCAAACAAACCAGAAGCCATTTTTATGAGGGATTTTCTCCTGTGGACTTTTCAAGATAAGTGGTTAGATGTTAAAATTTAACTGTTCAATTCCACTTCACCCCAAGTGTCAATAAATGGCTTTAATTGATTCATATTGGCTGCTGCTGTAACGAAGTTCATTGTATACTACAGAAAACCACTGGCCTAATTGTTTCAAGAGAACCCAGACCTAAATGTAGGGAATCATCTGATCTCATACCCTTATTTAACAGCTGAAGAAACTAATATACGACTAGGGAGTGGCTGAACCCCAGGTATACGTGCTCTCAGGCATTTTATTACACCGTACTGCAAATTTGAAGGATGTGAATTCAGCGGAACAAAAAATGACATTCAGGAAAGTAAGGGAGAATTTAAGATGAAAGGTAAGGTAAAAGGACTATGAGATATTTTTGTCACTTTCATCCCCTAAATTTTGGCCCCTTTATATATTTACAATGCACATTTACATCTCAATAGTAACTCTTCCTTCAGCTAACATAGATATGCAGCTAGAAATAGTGAAGAACATGGACAATAAGACTGAGAAGCCAGAAGACCTGGGCACCCACAGGCATAACTTCTGTGTAACTTAGGGACTTCATCCCCTCAAATCCCACCTACTGGAAGGAGGTTTTTCCCAGTCCCCAACCCACCCCCAATTCCAATCTTCATCCCAGCTGCTAGTACTTTCTCCTCTAAGATCACCTTTTGTCTACTCTGTACATCTTATATACATCTAGTCACTTCTCAGATGACTACCACCACTGAAATGTGATTTCCTTGAGAGTATGGGCTCTGTTGTTTTTACTTTTCTTTGTAACTTCCAGGTTTAGCACAGCACGTAGCATTTAGAACATCAGTGTACACTTAATAAATGTTTGTTGATGGCCTTTGGCCCCAATTTACTCATATGTAAAATAAGGGTTTTGGACCTGATGATCACTAAGATTCTCAAGCATACCGAGAATTTTAGAATTCTTTCCAAATGGAATGTGGCTTGTGATACGCATGACCAGAGGCCATTTTACCTTAGGTACTATATTCCCTTCTAAATATAACCCAGTACACCAATAGTAATCAGGACACATCTAAAGAGGATAACAGCTGAAGCAGATAATTTCAAATAATAGCTGATAAGATGAAGAGCCAGAAGGATACTTTTAACTCAGCAAACCTCTTTGTGCTTTTCTCTTTCATGGCCTCTAAGGTCCATTCTGGTATATTAAGTCTATGAATCACACATTAGAGAGGATTAGATTAGAAGTCATCTGGTCCAATCTTCACCCAGTGCAGATATTTCTTGAATAGCACTTCAGACAATGGGTCATCTAGTTTCTGACTGGACACTTTTAATGACAAGGAACTCACTACCTCATTATAACAGTGACTAACCCTTACTGCTTAAAACTCAGGTGAGTTACTTGTCACCCCCTCACTAGGGTTCTCTGACACCTTGGGGGTATTAAGGATCTCTCTTATCTTAGCTATTGACTCAAGCTACCAACAATTATGTTCTCCCAAATTTTAGGGGCCCCCAGTACCCCAATTCCATTAAATCACTTAACAATTAGACTGACTTTCACAAAGCATTATTTACTTCAAAGGTATAGCAAGAACAAATATACAAACCTTTTCCCCAACACCTGAGACATAATTCTCTCCTATACCTCCTGTGGTCTCTGAGGAAGGGAGGTGGATTAGTTTTAGCACTTGGCTCAGTTCCAGTCTCACCAAGTTCTCTTGCCAAGTTCTAAATCCAAAGCCCTAAGGGCTGGTGTCCAGGGACTGTGTCCTCTCCAGGGCTTCCCTTATGGACTGGCAGCAATCCTCAGCTCCAATGTTGCCATAACTGAAGTGCCTGGAGCTCCTGGCTACTGGGACATAGAACTGACCCCAGCTGAATTCTGCATTCTTTCCCTCAGACTCTACTCCTTGAATCTGGACCTAAACAAGACAAAAGAAACATCCCAAAATGTCAAGTCTGTTTCTCAGAGCTGTGAGCCCTAAAGGGAAGGGGAAAACAGCCCTTACCTTGCCCAGCTTAGTGCACAGTGCCCATGTTGTAGGTGAATGAGACTTTCACTCTTAGATGCCACTATAAAGAGAAAGTGAGACTCTTCCAGTCATGGTAGTTTTAAAAACAGAGTTCTGACTGTATAACCAATGGAAAGGGCTGTTTCCAACTACATGGCGAATGAGGTGGAATGTCTCCTCCCAGAAGCAAGTCCTTGGCATCTACCATACGGGTGTCGCCACCTTAGGTGATCTGGGCATGGACCAAAACCCAGGTTGTACTAACACCCATAGTATTTTATATTTAAATAGTACTTCAAGACTTGTAATGATTTTACATATTTTATCTTATTTGGGCCTCACAACCCTGTGCTGGATCTCAAAGCTATACTCAAAGCTTCCTCCCGGCTGAGCGCTTACTGTTCCCCAGCCTAGGTCTCCATTCCAAGTGACTACTGGGGGGAGCAGAATTGTCCCCCACTGGTTGCTGGATGTTTTCTCCAGAATTAATAGAATGCCACACTGTACCACCCCACCCTCTACACACTTGTTATGCCCCAGTTCCCGGTTACTTCATTCTGTGGACAAGAATCAAGAAGTGCTTAAGGAAGAGATAGCACCCTGAGCTGAGCCTTGAATGTAAAGCAACTATTTCAGTAGGCAGAGATGTGGAGGAAGGATATTGCCTTAGTAAATGCACAGAAATAAGACAGGGCTTGAGAATAAAGCCAATGTCAAAGTTGACTGGAATGTAAAGAATATGAAGAAAAATAGCAGGAAATAAGCCTGGAAAGGGAGCTTGGAGTCAGATTGCATACTGACCTAAAATGACAAGCTAAAAGCTTGCCTTCAAAAAAAAATATCTTTACAGCTCATCCTCTATATCCAATGAGTTGGATTTCATCCTTAAGATAGCTCTCACATATGTCCACTCCCCTTAACTTTCACTGATATCACCAAGTTCAGACCTGTATCACCTGCCTCTCCATTGGGCCATTGATGGGCCATTTCAAGTTATCTCCCTGCTTCCAGTATCTCCTCCCTCAGTTCCACAAAGCTTCCAAGATAATCTCCATAATACATAGGTTGGAACCCATAGGTTTTCTCTTCTCTTAAAATACTTATCCCCATTTCCTTCAAAGAATCATTGTGTAGTAGTAGCCATTCCATTGAGGACCCCAGGTCCCTAATCTTTGTAAATAGATTCCTCACATATTTGAGGAGCTCATTCACAACTAGAATTTCTTTCTTTGAGAGGGAAAGTTTCATTGTTTTATTCTTTCCCTTTTTCTGTTTTTCCCCTTTTTAGTAATTGATTATTTTATCCCAATTTTTCTTTTTTTTTCTTTGATCTATTTGCTTAGTTGGTACAGACCCTTATTAATGACTAGGCAAGCAATAGCCTCTGATAACTTTTGTAAAATAACTATCAACATGCATAACTTTGTATTTGAGGGAAATTGTGACCTTCAAGACCACCAGCTGTTGTAGGTCTGGGCCCTCCTAAACATTGTTTATTTGGGTAGGGGATTAAGAATTGTGCCATATTGTCTTTTAAACTCTTTAGTGTAAGGCCCTGGTGGAGACACTTGAGGATATGGACAAACTGCCACATGTACTCTAGCAAATTAGGTGAAGACAGCAAATGCTTAATTAGGGGAGAGTCAAACAAATGCCATCCCATGGGGTATGCCTATAGTTGCTCTTCTGGTTCCAGTCAACTGCAGGGGAACTTTGGGATCTACTTCGAGCTCTGTGGTGGCCCTAGTGCTGGGAAAGAATGACAAGTTAGTGTGATGTGACAAGCCCTGAGTGGTCCCATGGTCATCCCCTATGCTGGGATAGCAAAGTGCTATCACTTTAAGAAAAGAAACAGCTTCTGGCTCAGCCTCCTTGTTTGGACTCTGTGGCAAGTAGGCTACTCTAATTGTTGACTTACTGTGAATGAGAATGAGGGGTTGGACTCTGTTCTTTTTCTCACACTCTGTATTTCCCACATGGAACATAACTCAGCTAGACAAGCTTGCTCCTGGGCCCATAGCTGCATCTCCCACTCTCTGCATTCTTCCCTGAGTAGGTAAGGACACATCAGCCTCAAGGCAGACCTGAATAATCTTGAAGGTTACCCTATGAGTTTGAGAGATACGAAGGATCTATTGAGCTGGAGCTGAATGGAGGCAAAAAAAGAGTCCCTGGCATCTTCTCCAACACTTTTGGGAAGAACAGCCAATGACAAGATAATTGGCCTGAGCCTGGCTTTCTTACCAACAGTCATGTGCCGGGAGCAGTTTGGTCAATATAAAGAGATGACATATAACATACCTAATTACTGGTTCTAAAAATTGCTTTATTTTCTCATGAGACTTAAGTATCAGTCTCCCAGTATATTGCAAACACAGTTGCAAGTTATGTTGTTACTCAATATATTTAAATATTTAGTGATTTTAAATATTTAAATATGTTCAAATTTAAATAATTTAAAAAATGATTTAAATAATTCTGCTAATGCACATTGTGAGTCATTTATGCTTAGCATCTCTCTCTTGCATGTAGATTAAGCTACTTGTCCCATATCTGATTCATATTGTATACTGGATATCTTTCTACTTCCCCTTTTGGAGAGAAACTCTGTGTGTGACCCTAAACCTTATATTTAGACAATTTGTCCTGAGAGTGCCAGGATATGAGTTTTGATGGGTATGATTAAGCTGAAAAGTATGAAAAAAGGAAGCAAAACCCCTCTTAGGAAAGCCAGGTTCTACCAGGACTGAACCAAGCCCAACCCCAAGCCTGTGGTTTAGAGGAGAGGTGCCTCATAGAGGAGAAGGAAGAGTCCTAGTACCTTCAGCCCTCTGACCCCAGCAATGATTTTCCAAGATGAAATATGCCTAGCATACTTTCCAGACCCCAAATCACTTAATGTCAGAGCTAGACGGAAGTATGCAAATGATCTTATCCAATCTTCTCAGTTTCATTTAGGGGAGTAAACTGAGGCCCAGAGAAAGGAAGTGACCTTTCTAAGGTCACATAGCTATATAGTGGCAGATCTGGAAACTGAACTCAGGTCTTATTATTCCTAGCACATCATTCTTATCACTCCACCATCCTATCTACGATCTTCCCCATTCTAGTTTCCCTCCTCTGAATTTCCTTCTTAGTAGATTTCTCATCATTTGATTTCTCTGCCTTTGACTATCTCTCTCCTTGGGTGTTACCAGGATCTCAAATCCTAATCTATTCTAAATTTCTCCTGATAGAGACAATTTGGTATAATAGAAGGAGCATGGGAGTTATAATTAGTGTAGTTCTGGGATGGAATCCTGGCTTCGACACCTCCTGGTGTGTGACCAGGAGTAAGTCATTGGAGTTTGTACAAGTTATAGTGCTAGATGCTGAGGATTGGAACACTAAAAGGGGTCAGAAGATTCAAGTAAGTAAATAAAGAGAATTTGTGTGAATCTAATTTGTAGTATAGCTGGAAGCAGGAGGGTACTGTAAAACTAGAACCATCAGGAAAGATTTCCAGTAGGAGATGGCTCTTATTAAAGTCCTCTTTAAAATTCAGCATCCAGAACTGAACACAATGACTCAGATTTAGCATGACCCAGGCAGAGAACAATGGAACTAATACCTCTTTCTTCTCAGGAGCTATGTCTCTCTTAATGTGGCCTAAGATCATTTTAACTTTTTTGACTGCTATATCATATTGCTGAATTATATTGAGCTTGTGGTCTGTTAAAATTCCCAGATCTTTATCAAACAAAGCTGAACTTTGAAGGAAATTATGGATTCCAAATGGTGGTGGTGAGGAGATTCTAGGCACCTAGGAAAACACATACAAAGGTATGGAGGTGAAAGATCAAAGTCAATTTCAGGGGGACAGAAAGTAAGATAATTTCATTAGAATTTAAAGTGTGTGAATGGGAATAATATGAAATAAGTTGTGAAGGTCAGCTGGAACCAGATTGCAAAAGTCATAAATACTAAACTGAAATCCTAGAGGCATTAGGAGTCACTGGAGAAAAACTATCTAGTAATTAGCATTATCCAAAAGTTAAAATAGGCTGTCTAAGAATAGATGCAAATAAGATAATGGAAGTGATTTGAGGTCTTCAGGCAAAGGCTGCATGAATTATTTTCAGGTTTGCCATAGTAAGGATTTTTGTTGAAGAACATCATGGACTAGTTGGTTTCTGAGATCTCTGCCAACTCTGTGATTCTGTAACCCTTGTAATGTTTAGTCTCATCATCTGTAAAATGGGAGTGTTGTTACCATTTACCTCACCAGGGTGTGGTGAGGGCCACTCTGTAAACCTTAAAGCACTATAGAAATGCCACTTGTCATTGCTATTTTCAATTAGCTTTGGGTTGACGGCAACAGGTCCGGTCCTGTCCTTTTCTAAGCATTGGGTAATGAGAAGAAGCTTAGCCAATCAAAGACCTCATTAATGCCTTCAGAAGTCTCCACCTCAGCCAGAACCAATGAGAGTTTGCCACAATTCTTTGTTGTGTTTGTCTAGGAATCTGGGACTGTTTGTTCATGGACCAAATATACCCTTGTGTTATCATAACTGCCTTTTCCATCTGCTGGCTTAGACTAAGATTCAAAAAATTCTCCTTTCTTACACTTCACTGTTACTATAGTTATGACTCACATAGCATTGACATCCTGTTTTCCCTGAATGCCTCCAGTTCTTACAGTGTGCAACATAGAGTAACATTCAACCATTTACTGTCCTACATTAATCTGAAATTGCTATATTTATGTCCACAATATCATAGTCCTTTGGAAATGGAAATAATCTTAGATCATCTAGCTCAATACATCATTTTATGGGGAAGAAACTGAGGCCTGGAGAAGAGAAGTGACCTTCCTAAGACTGCGCAGCAGTACAACCATAGCAGTGGTATTGCTGGTACTAGAACCCTGG